TCTTTCACTGACTGAGGTCATCTCTGTGCACATCGAGCCTGTTCTTTGAGCACTACACAGAGATGGAGACAGCAGAACTGAACAGGAGAGACACATTTTCAGTTGCACTTTGAAACCATGCAGTGCTGCTTGAGGTTTCTCAGGATTATGAAAAGCACCTGTTAAAGAGAGAAAAAAATTCCCTTCAACCTTTATTTATACAAGTTAATCCCATTGAACCTCGGGGACTCATTTACAAGAGATACCTGATTTTAACAAAGAGTGATGACAACAGTGGATAACAAAGACAACAATAGACAATCATAAAGGATGCACACAAATTGAGAATAACAAGTGAAAATAAAATGGTATTTAAAAAATGTAACAGCTAGGTTGTAAAATGATATAGAAAACTAAAAACAGGAACATGTCTGCATTGGTTTTTCCCATGAACTTAGCAGAAGTTTGAAGCCATTTAAAGAGGTCAAGGTCAAAAGCTTCAGATCTTTTTGCAAGATATTCCAGGAAACAGGAGCGAAGTAGGAGAAGATCCTTTTGCCAAGTTCAGTCTGCATTGAGGGGACACTGCAGGTAATAATGTCCTGAGAGCGCACGCTGTAGCTGCACTCACGCAGAGACATGTAGGAGGAGATGTATGAAGGCAGCAGACCAAGAAGTGATTTAAAGATTAAAATGTACCAGTGAGAGTGTTTGCGTGAAGTTAATAATGACCACTTAATCAGTGGATACAGGGTGCAGTGATGGGTACGGTAGTTACAGCCAGTTATGAACCTTAGCGCAATGTGATAAACAGCATCCAACATCTGCACGGTGCTTGTAGGGACGTTCACACACTTAATAATGTCACCATAGTCAATGGAGGGAAGGAAAGTTGCAGTTACAAGGCGTTTCCTAGCATTCAGAGTTAGACAGGATCTATTTCTGAAAAAGAAACCCAATTTAATTTTCAGTCTCCTTACTAGGTTTTCCACGTGGAGCTTAAAAGAGAGATGTGAGTCGACCAAGATACCCAAATATTTTAGGAATCTACAAACTCAATAGGGACACCATTTGAGGATAAAATCAAAGGAAAAACTGCTGGGACTGACTTCCTGTTTGACAACAGCATCCCTTTGGTTTTGTTGGCATTTAGGACAAAATTGAGATGGAACAAATCAGACTGGATGTTGTCAAAGGCGGATTGCAAAAGCTGGAAAGCCTTATCAACTGTTTTAGCTCGACAATAAACAACTGTGTCATCAGCATTGAAATGTAAGAATGCATCAGGGATGCTCTGATCTACATTACCTATGTAGATTGTAAAAGGGGTGGGTCCTAAGACTGAGCCTTGTGGTACACCATCGTTGACTGTTAAATAACTGGAGGAAGTACCATTATGTTGAACACATTGCCTCCAGTCTGAGAGCTAGTTAGTGAACCAACTAATGGTGTGATCTGAAAAACCAATTTAACCATGCTAATAAAAAAAAAAAAAGCTTTCTTTTCTTTCTTAGTCCATCCAGTATGCATGGATGAAAGCTTTTCTGACACATTGCACCTCTGCTGCACTCTCTCTTCAGTTTCCTCTAAAGCTCCATCACTGCAATACTTAGCCCACACTGATGCTTCCTCCAATAAAACTATACATAAACTAAAATCACTGCCTGACCGCAGGTGCTGCTGCACCTTTGCTGGAGGTGAGAGAAATACAAGGCACATAAAAAAGTGACAGGAGCAAAGGGCCAAGCAGTGTCAGTGGTTTTATCCAATTACCAATCAGAACCCTCCTACTCTTGACAGTCTTTTGTAGAATCATGACAAAGCTGCAAAAGCAAGTCTTTTGTCTGAAAACAAAGAGGAATGCAAGTGTGTGTGTGCGTGTGTGTGTGTGTGTGTGAGAGAGAGAGAGAGAGAGAAAGAGTTACAGTGTGAACACAACAAAGAGTTATGTGACGTTAAGAAACAGTTTCTCAAGCTTGTGAAGTGTGGAACAGATGTAGTTAATGTGTGTTTGGATTCTTTAGGTTCCTTTATGTTGTTGAAAATTGACTTGTCAATGGTCAGAAACTCAAAAAGATACAAAGCAAGATATTCAGGCAACCTCCCTGCTATTATTCAAACACACCGAGCAACAAATCAGGCTTCCTGAAAGCCTAGTTAATAAAAGCCGGTGCAACAGACGTGCCCCGCTGAAGAGCACATGGTGTGTGAAACAAGCTTTTGAAAATACACATACATGCATGCACGCACATAGAACTGCTTGGAGTAAAGTTGTAACATCTAAATAAAATTGCACAGTAACCATTACTGATCACTAGAATGTGCTGCTGATTTCTGCTGGTTCAGAGACAAAGGAGTGAAATTTGAGAAATTTAATTTTTCAGTTTTTTTCACTTTTTTCAGCAGTCATTCAGCATTCAAACATTGTTTTCACATAGAATGCAATTTTTACTTGTCTGTGTTGGAAATGTGCAGTCACTTTAAATAAGAAGCTGTATAACAAGAACAGCTTGAACAACAAACTTGTTTGTAGCACCAGTTACCTAAATCTATTTGTGTTTATTGTCATTCCCCGCATAAAATTCAATTCAGTTCAGTTTATGTATACAGTATAGCACCAAGTCACAACAGAAGTCATTTCAGGGCACAGGGCTCACGTGGCATGGAGGCTGCACAGCTGCAGAAAGAAAAGCTTGCAGAGAGTGGTGAAGGCTGCACAGAAATCTGTTGGAGTCAGCCTCTCCACCATCACAGACATCTCCACCTCCAGATGCAGGAAGAGGGCCACCTGCATCATGAACGACCCCACTCACCCAGCACACAAACTTTTTGCCCCGCTCCTCTCAGGCAGGAGGTTGAGGAGCATTAAATGTAGAACTGAATGTAGACTGAAGAACAGCTTCTACCCTGAAGCTTTTAGACTCATGAATCCCTAATCAGGATAATCACTGTTATGCCACTTGATTGTTGATATGTGCTGCTGACTATCCATGATGCTGCTGATCTCATGCTGCTGATTTATTTCATGCTGCTGAGTTCATTCGTACTCACCTGCTCAAACAGACTCATGTTCGTGCTGCAGTTGTTCGGTGTATTGTTTTTGTACTACTAGTGTTTAGTGTATTCTTGCTTTAGCATATTTCTTAGTTTATAGCTTAGATCTTATTACTGTTTTGCTTTTACAAATTGTACTTTTGTTGGATGTAACTTGGACCCCTTGTACAAAATTTCCACAGGTACCACAAACTTGTACAAACATGTACCACATGTGATGGAAATGACAATAAAGAAACATTGACCTTGACCTGAACAGAAACATTCATATATAGTGTATATAAAAAAACAAGTTAACATTATTTATGTGAGGAGCAGACTACTTTGAATTTAACTTAATCACAGACTCGAGCAAGCTTGAAGGCGACAGTGGAAAGGAAAAACTTCCTCGAGGAAGAAACCTTTAGCAGAACCAGGCTCAGGACAAGTGGTCATCTGCTTCGACCGGCTGAGTTAGCTAGGAAGAGGAAGGAGGAACAGATACACAATGGCAGGAAGAGAATCACATGTTAAGATAGAAATAGTATAAAATGAAAACTATTCAATTTTAACAATTCATTTTAAGAAATGAGGTAAATTTTCCTCCAGTAACCTAAGCTTATAGCAGCATAACAAGCCACTCCTGTTTCCTGGAATATCTTACAAAAAGATTTGAAGCTCTCGACCTTGACCTCTCTAAGTGGCTTTAAGAATCTGTTGGACTCCTGGCAGGGTCCAATGCTGACATGTTCCTGTTTTTAGTTTTATACATTTGTCTTGGAATCTAGCTGTTTTTTTTTTTGTTTTGTTACCTTTTCCTTTTAGCCATCCTATTTGTTAAAAAAAAAACAAAAAAAACTGTAGTATGAGTTTTTATAATTGCTTATTGTTGTTGCTGTTGTCCATTGTTGTCATCTTTCTTTGTTGAAATCAGGTCTCTCTTGTAAATGAGTCCTTGAGGCTCAATGGGATTTACCTGTATAAATAAAGGTTGATTGAACCCTAAACTATAGGATTGATCAAAAAGGAAAGTGTTAAGCCCAGTCTTAAAACTGGACAACGTGTCAGCCTCATGGACAGAAACTGGAAGTTGGTTCCACAAGAGAGGAGCCAGATAACTGTAAGATCTTCCTCCCATTCTCCTTTTGGAAACTTTAGGAACCGCAAGTAAGCCTGCAGTCTGAGAACGAAGTGCTCTGTTAGGAAAATATGGAACAATAAGATCTCTAATATAAGATGAAGCTAGGTTGTTGAGAGCTTTGTAGGTTAGAAGTAAGATTTTGAATTTCTTTCTGAATTTGACGGAGAGTCAATGGAGAGAGCTAAAAATAAAAACAAATTGTCAGCTCTGATTAGACAAAGAGATAAAATAGAACTTTACTGAAATGGAAACTGTTGAAAATCTCTGTTTTACATGTTTCATGTATCGTACATACACAGATTTCCCTCGGCTCTTCAAAAGAATGAACAAAGCGAGCTCTTTATCAACTTAATAAGTAAGAACAATGTATAGTTAATTTATAGTTTCTAATAAGGACAGTTGAGATAGTTGGCAACATTAAAACTTCCTTTTTAAAAATCTAAATTTACTATTATTCAGTCATTTATATCTATATCTATTAAAAATCATGCAATGGGTAAAATAAAACCCATTTGTTTTTTTAATGCTTTGACTCCTATTCTACTTCATCACCCTCCAAGAGAGCGTAAGTGCGCATGCGTGGGTAAGCGCGCTACCGCAGACAGGGGGCGTGAACGCGCCGCTGTCTCCTCCACAACCGCCGCACTGACTGCAACCTGCCAACGAGAGGAGGAGAGAAAGAAACGCAGGAACACAGGCTACCATTAGGGCTTTTTTCATCCTTATGAGCCCCTACATATTTTCAGGAGGGTAGGGTGAATTCGGTGGATTTTTAGAAAAACCGCTTGTTTTTGTTTTTATTATTTTTTACTTTTTCTCGTCTACGCAGTGGATGTTCTTTGAGTAGCAGACGCGCGAGCTTGTAAAAGCAGGTGCGCGAGACAGCGGCGGCCGCTCCTCTCCTCCCTGTTTCCGAGGGGAAATGTCGAGCGAGAAGCCGCTTTCAGCACCGCCCGGCTCCGCTTCTTTGCTCACGGACACAGACCGAGACTCGCACCTTCCTCCTCCTCCTCTTCCTCCTGCTGCTGCTGCTGCTCCTCCTCCGCCGGGCTCCTCCGCTCCGCCGCGGCAGGTCGCCGTCGCCGCCGCGGGCGCTGGCTTCCACAGCAGCGGGGAGAGGATGGTGTCCGCAGCCGGGTCCATGGTGCTGCCGGCCGGGGTGATCAACCCCGCGGTTCCGATCAGGAATATCCAGATGAAATTCGCCGTGCTGGTGGGCCTGATCCAGGTCGGGGAGGTTAGCAACAGGGACATCGTGGAGACGGTGCTGAACCTGGTGAGTGGATGACGGGGATAATGGGGGGGTAAAAACGGAGAAAGCCGTGGAGGCAGTGAAAATGACTGCGCCCCAACTCCCCATGTTTTATTTACGATGCTCCACTCCGGTAGTGTGGCGTTCAGGGGCAACGATGATGTCATTTATTTGTTAGGAGGATGTGAATGTTTTTGATTTTAGATTTTTTTTTTAAATCCAACAAGCAGGAGGACGTCTGTGTGTGTGTGTGTGTGTGTTGGGGGGGATAATGGAGAAGCAGAAGCATGTGACCCCACCAGGGTCGTTTAATTGCAGCCATTGTTGACTAAATGACCGGTTTGCTGTAAAATAGCTCCTTTAAAGTGCGGCTGCAGACATGTTAGCTTCTCTCTTGACCTCAATCTGTGCCCTGATCAGAAGGAACAGACAGATGCGCACAGCACCACGAGCCCAACCACTTTCCCTAAAATCGTGCAGGTATATCTGTCTTGTCACCAGTTTCACAAACTGATCGGACAAAGGCCGACTAGCATGATGCTACGTGTGCGTGTGAGCGTGAGTGAAGGAGAACGGGTTCAAATGATGCACAAGGCCTATTGTTGCAAGCAGGGCCCTGCATCATCCTGTGCGCCAAAGCAGTGATGTATAGGCGGCGTTGAGACGTTTAGTGGTTTGCTTTACTGTGTGCATCATATTTATGCAGCAGATACAGGTCCCCCCCCAACCCCACCTGCTCCTTCTGTCTTTATTCTGCCACGATGAGAGGTTCAATCCGAGGCCTATACACCCAACACAACACATGGGAGGATTTAATCCAGCTGACTGACTGGTGTGGACTGTTATGAAACAGATGGGCAAAATGTACAGCAGATCCAAAGAGGAGCTTTAGGAGGATATGTGCTATTCCACCCCCC